TTTTGTATGATGGAATATTGTTATAATGCTTTAATATCTCCTAAAAATAAAACATTCAAAAACAATCACTGACAACGAATTGCACCTTTTGTCATCAACCACGCCAATTTCATAATGACTTAGTTACGTCACTTTAATAAGTAGTTAAAACGGCGATAAAAGGTTGAGGAGCTTAATAGCAGATGTCAGTGGGTGTTGAATAAAACAACAGCAAGGGATTTTTTTGCTCTAAAAATGTTAAATTTTTCTGATTTTATTTTTATTCAGATAAGTGATTTATATAAAAGGAATAGGAATAAGTTATTTTGGCCAATTTTAAAGTATCTATCTATCTTAAGTTCTCTGCAGGTTGCTAAATGACAAGAAATTGGTGTTTAATTAATGTAAAATCCATCGATTCATTAATTCCTTATTTTTGTCCCATGGAATTTTTTTTTGGTTATTTCGCATATCGGTTTCCGATATGCAGTGGTCTTTTAATGACTACACTTTGTATATTCTTTCAACTTTTGTCCAGTAGATTATCCATAATCATAAATAGTCAAGGGAAAACCTGTTTGTTTCAGTCAAATGATATTACCGCCATAATTTGGGGTTTGAATTTTAATTTACTCAACATGATTTACAATGTATTTACGAAGCAATATTTGTATTCATACAGAAATTTGTACAAAAAATAGTAATTGATCATCAAATTTAATGGTTTATTTTTGGAATCCGATGTTATCCCAATACTGTGTATAACTATCTCACTTAAATTGTGATGGGTCAAGGCTAGATGTAATTAGACAGAGTACAATGAGTATATAAGGCCTAATAAGCCTAACGACTGATAAAATATTAATCTTTGAAATAATTTAAATTATTGGAATAATGCATTAATGTAATAAAATTGTAGGTGCAAAAAGTGCACCAGCAGCACAACTAGCACAATGTCAGTCTATCCACACATGATTAGCATAGGTGAGATGTAGCCACATGACCTGCTAGCTATTACCATGCAATCCTGAAATGGCTCTGTTACACTCGAAAGTTACTAGTGGCAGTTCAATAAAGAAAACGCAACAAAATGCATGACTGTATTCATTTATTGGAAGAAATCTCAGCTACAATATAGGAATTGTTAGTCAGGGGTACATGTATGTACAGTAATTGCAGTTAAACATTTCCACTTCTCTTACAAATTACTGGCGAAATAGATGTTAACATGTGTTAATATTCTTTGGATTTCCAACAACTGTTTCCCACAACAGTGCACAAAAATTTATAGGTCTGAAAGTAGAACATATTTCTAATATTTCTACACAGTAACTAAAAAATACCCCACGCCATTTGAACAAATGTTATGTGTTTACAGAGACCTAGTTTCTTTGATTGAATTGCCGTACTTCCAAAAACAAAATTCCCGTCAACACTTGTAAAAAAAAAAAAAATTCCCGTCAACACTTATAAAAATAATCCCCGTCAACACAACACAACAAAAAAGGCGACCGATAGCACTTTACAGTTGACAGTTTCTCCCACATTTAGACACAGGTATGTTTCTTAGTCCTATTTTATATCTAGTTGAACTATAATGCTGCTAGATTTGATCAAAAGAGGTTCAAATGGTTTGTATGTGCACAGGATGCATTGTGTCGTTGAAGTTAAAAGGCCACATACGTCCGGACGCACAGAGAAGACGCTCGCGGTGGTTAAAAATAATATGATTGACCCGCAATGCGTTAGGCAAGGGGAATCCCCCATTACTTCTACACAGTTCCGAAATGACCTTGTTTACTGCAATAAGATGGGCTCATAGAGGAACAGCAATGGGCTCTGTATGGGAACTTTTTTGTCTACGACAGTATAAAACGTGAGGCAGTGAGACAGGTAGTGCCAAATTACAATTAAATTATTTCAGATTTAACATACTTTTTTCATCTTTATTTTTTTCTTTATACAGTTGTTATGGCACATGTCTATTAGATCTCCTTCGTCTGGATCATTTCGAGTAAACCGAGTACAGTATATCTTAGTGTTCACTGCACCTGCCCTCTCTCTTTTTGATTGCCAAACTGTTTCGGTATTTTAATTCAATTTAGATAACAGAAAAAGAAACAATCATAGCAAGTAGGCCTCGACAGGGCTGTAGGCAGCACATTTTTGGCGGGAAAGGAGGGTTAAATTGTTAACCAGTTGATTTAAGTTGACCCATCTTAAGAAACGGCACAGAACCTGGATGAAATTTTGATCAAGACTGCCCCTCCCACCCGAACCCTTTGTCCACAGGCGTGAAATACATTTACGACTACATGCTGCGGTTCTAACCCTTGCTTTGTCGGTGTTACTGGTAGGGATTTTATGAAAATGTGTGGTTTCTGAGGCTTCTTGTGCAGATGTTATATCATGGTGCTGATGACGCTTGATCTCAACAGTCGTCATATAAATTCACTTTTTTGTCTTATACTGGATGCCAAACTAATACAGAGGCCTACATGTAAATGACCTGAGTTTAATTTATCACATATTAGTTCCATTGTTGATTGTCACATCGAGTAGATTAGATTATGGATCACTGAATACAATTGTAGAATTGATTATATTATAATAAGTACATTAATATCTAAAGATATAAAAACCAAAGTGATTGAGTACATTGTACATGTAGGTGTACATTCGCACTGACGTGACATGATGTCCTTAGAAAACGACTCTTTATCTTGTTGATTCAACTTCTGAAAGCCATTATAGATGCTCTCAATGCACATTTCTGGCTAAGTAACAATCATTCTAGTCTTATCAATATAGATTATAATCATAGCCATTTTTTATTATTAGCTTTGATATCCGCCCATATTTAATTGTTTAAAAGAGGAATGACTTAATTTTAGACTTTATCATATGATAATATGTTGTGATTATGTGTGGCGACCTACCAAAAAAATGGGAGTATGCGCACATTTAACGCAATAAAACCATTTAAAATTATCTTAAGAGGCATGCACTTTAGACGCTGAATCAAACGTCATTAATATCAATTTATCTTTAACCTGAATTGCGATAGAATGGCCCAAGGGGCTCCAGTGGCCATGTTTGCACATGTAACGCATGCGCACTTTATAAACTGCCAGCTGTCGAGTCCGCAGATACTGTATTGCATGGTGATACCGCTGTGAGCATTCCCGCCAGATAAGTAAGTACAACATCATAATATGTACAAGGTTTGCAACGATACTTTGACACTGAATTAATCATAGTACATGTATGCATGTGTGTTTGAAAGACAGAAGTGTGCTGATAACGAATGTAAATCGAGGATAGATGATCGATGATCTCATGTCCGCGGCTACACGTATTGAAGATGTATGGTAGTTGTTTTTAGGAAATGTTTTACATGTAGAAATATGGTAAGTGATTATTTTTCAGTATTAAGGGTAAATTTTTCACATAGGCGTTACTGTTAACAGGGAATTGGGAAGCAATTAGAAAGATCGGTCGGACGAGCGGGTTCGATCCGGGGATTCCCTCTAATTGTTATGACGTTTCTGACACCCCTCCCCGAACTTCTAGGGGGTATCAGTATCAAAACATTAAGGCAGATTGATTGCTGGCAGTAAGTCAATAAGTCATTTAATATAAATGGAGCTCTCGCTTTCGACAAGAATAGGCAACTTTTGCTTGGTCCAAGCATTTAGAAAGATCATTGTGAAAGGGAGTAATATCCCCACCCTCCATCGCGTAATTCCATGTACATGTAAAGATCCGTCAAACTGGTGCTACAGAGAAAACTCGATGTGAAAAGAGCCGAGGTGATTTGAATACAAAATCAAATGTTCATTTTTTTATATTTGCTCGGTTTTATAAAATATAAACATTATTGCTTTACTTATGCATAATTTAACTTCTACTGGCGTTAAAGATCGGAATAGGTTTATATGTTGTTAATGTTTCATACCTGCATCTTGCACGCTGTGCATACACAGTGTATTTTGGTTTGTCCTTATACACACAGAACCTGAGATATTTAATCTATAATATTCAAACAAATGTATGTATTTTAGGGACGATGAAAAGCGCTACGAACACAGAGCGGCTTTGTGTTTTTAACTTTCCTTTCTTGTGTGTATGTGTCAGGGTGGGGGACGTTTTACCGTGGACTTTTTTATTAAAAAATATTAACCCATTTCTAACTAGATTACCCACAAAAGATCACAACAGATCGCCTATACTTTTAAAGCAAATTCATAGGGAAACTCATGCAAACCTCGCCACCATACGATGTGAAAACCATACCAACCATTTAAACTTACATTTTAAAGGCAGTAAACGCTTTTTAAACAGCTTTTATCCAAGTGCAGTGACGCATTTTAATTTGATCTCAAAAATAAATTCTTAATTTATTTATTTACTGTATTATTTTATTATTTTACTCTGTGTATTGCTCCAAAAGGAAAATGATTTCCGATTTTTATAATTGGCTAAATAAACTCTTATCTTATTTTATCTTACATTGATAATACCACCATACCAACTCCATTCACCGCCATGGAAATTGGAAAGAAGCTAAGGCTGAAGTAGTAAAGGCACATTTTATGTATAAATCTGCTGACAAATATTTAAAAACCTTTACAATAATATCATCTTAGTTGTTTCCTTTGCACTTTTGATTTTCACTGATAACTTATCTGATATATGTGTTTTGTGTAAATTGAAAACTGGCAAACGAGCTACATGCATGCTTGAAACCTACGCGACCACAAACTTCCAGAGTTCGCTGATGTCTGTGTCACAGCTTATCAAGGCCTTTGGGGTTTTGTCGAGGCGTTTAGGCCTATCTAGTTGTGATGTGGCTCCTAGTATCTAGTATATGCGAGGCCTTTAGTAAATAGAATACAAATATCGAATCAAATTATCTCTCTAGCAAAGAAAATTGGTAAATAGAAAACTGCGTTGGTGAAATCAATAATTTATTTCAGATTAAATATTTTATATAATAATAATATTAAATCTTATTTCAGAATGGCACTGAGCAAAATAAGGTCACCACTAGGTTTGAAAGATTATGAAGACGATGTACAAAGAAACGGTCACCGTCCGCTGAGTCCGACACAGCGTTACAAGTATGAGCACCAACGGCTCTTAACCTTTGCCAATTGGCCTGACTGGACACCTGCTTCTGCTGCAAGGCTGGCCAAGAACGGCTTTTTCTACACCGGCAGGGACGATGAGGTGGAATGTTTCGCTTGTAAACGCAATGTTCGAGGTTGGAAATTGGGCGAAAACCCCGAGAACAAACACCACCAAGTATCACCAAACTGTCGCTACATAAATGGGGCCAATAAAGAGAATATTCCAATATATGTTGATGTTTCGTCTCCCGAAGAAAATGCAGGACTTCAAAGAACAATCTACGCCCCTCTTGGTCTTCGGCCTCTTGGGACTCGGGTGCCACAAGGTTCCCAACATGCTGAGGGTTCTTTGAGAGTCCCAAATGGAAATTCAATGACAGGTGAAGTCACCTATGGCACTGAGAGTGAAATAAGAAACCGTGCTGATGAAAGGGCAGAATCACGAAACGAGGCTACCAGAAATACACCGCGGTCTGCTGTTAATCCAAACGCTCAAGTCGGCGTTGACACCACTGACAATCTTGCCGTCAGGTCACCGCCAACTGAAACGCGTAAAAACAACCCCCAATCCCCTTACACTCCTTTTCCGAGACTTTCAAGTATTCATGAGAGTGAGGACTTTATGTTGATTATGAGGGAGAATGAATTAACTCGTATGCAAACCTATGCTAATTTCCCAGACAGTTGTCCTGTCAGACCCAGTGAACTCGCAAAGGCGGGGTTCTTTTATTTAGGAACTTCAGATATTGTGAAATGTGCTTACTGCGGCGGTATGATCAGATCATGGGACAGGGGCGATGACGCATTTGGAGAACATATGAAACATTTTCCTTCGTGTCCGTTTGTACAACAAAGACAAAGCCGAGAGCAGAGTTCGACTCAGCAGAACAATTTATTGTTTGACGATAACCCAATAGTGACTGAACGACCAAAACATCCCCAGTATGCAATTGAACAGAACAGGATTTTGACTTTTGAAAACTGGCCTATCAGTAAGCGGCAAACACCAAGAGAACTTTCCATTGCGGGGTTCTATTACGCCGGCTTTGGGGACAATGTGAAATGCTTTTTCTGTGGCGGGGGACTGAGAAACTGGGAGCCACAGGATGACATATGGACTGAGCATGCGCGTTGGTTCCCAAATTGTGGGTATGTGAAACAATGTAAAGGAGTGTCTTTCATCAGAGAAATACTGCAACGCAATTCCGCCAATGGGCAATATTCCGGCCAAGCAGGTTGGTCCCCACATACCCATCAGATAGAGGCAAGAGAAATAAAAGCTCGGTTAGATGCACCATCTGTTCAGAAAGTAATAGCAATGGGTTACTCCCGAGATTTAGTAAGAAAGGCTATAGAAAATAGACTTACAACTGTTGGTGACGATTTTCCTAATCTACAGTCTTTAATAGAAGCTCTTCTTAAAATTAAAGAGGAACAAGAACTGGGAGATAGTAATGGGGATACCAGTTTGACAAATGATCCTCAAAATGTTACAGTAGCCAGGGGTCAATCAGACCAGTCACCTCCAAATGACACAGCACCCTCCGCCAATATAAATAATCCCCCTGAACCCATTGACCCCGCTGACTTATCAGACAAACTAAGAGAAGAAAATAAACTTTTAAAAGAACAGAGAAAATGTAAAATATGTAAGGTGAGAGAGGCTGAGGTTGTTTTCTTGCCTTGTGCTCATCTTGTGTGTTGCAATCCATGCTCTCCCTCTCTCAGAAAATGCCCGGTTTGTCAATCCAAGATCAGGGACACAGTGAAAACCTATCTGTGCTGATTGGATGGAGACAAGATGACGTATTTGTAGAGATTGACACTAACTTTAGGACATGGGACATAAATTGGTCTTTCTTGACATAGACAAGTGAACCCAATGTCTGATGTGGTACATTCTGAACAAGTGCTAATCCGTGAATGAGCTGAGCGGGTGGAGAAAGTACAAACAAGGTGAATAACTGATATTTTTAAACCTTATCACATGGACACAGTCTGCGCGTACGTCGCAAAGTGGATGCTACATACCGACTACATTAAATCTCACTCAGTACTGTCAACCTTTCAGCATGTCATCAAAACATACAAAAAACAATAAGATGGGTGAACCTTCACCCAAACGCACGCATAGCGAAATCTCCAATACAAGTGCTGAAGAAAATAACAGCATTTTCTTAGCGGAATTAGAAGAAATAAAATCTTATATGAAAGACATGATAAACAAAGACGAACTGAAAGAACTAGTAACCACCTTAGTTACAGAAATGTTAAGTGTGTGTCCATGATAAGACCAGTCAGAGGGTGGCAAGGTGGGGGTCTACAGATTTCAACCAAATTCATAATATAGTTGCATATATAGGAGATATTTACATTGAAGGCAACAATCCCAAAAGAAATCATTGGATATAATTATAATATAATATTAAATGTTTTGGCCATTTTTGGCTTGATTTTCAGCTTCGGTCAATAAAGCCACTTCATAAGCAAATATGTCAAAACTGATGACTTTTTAAAATAAATTGATAATTTACCTATTTAAACCAGCCATTTGCTATTGAGAATATGTTACCTAATTTCAGTTTAACCCACAAACTAACGAGCCACGCCCATTTTTATAACCCCACCCCCCAAACTCACTTTTCTACCTAGCAATGTTCAAGAATTCATATCTCTCTTTTTGCAGGGTTGACAGCCATAAAATTGTATAGGGATCCTGAGCATATATTGGTCTCATCAAACAAATTTTAAAAATTGTGTTAAACACAACAGAAGATATTGAAAAAGTGCCTCAAACTTTAGCAATTTTAGCAGAAAACCAAACGACCGAAATCAAGATATCAGTACATTTTGAGATAATACATTCCAATAATCGAATTTAATCAAAGACTCACAGCCAGGAATTCAAACAATGCTTTGATAAGGGCAAATCTATCCAATTTTTATAAATACAAGATGGCTGCCATCAATTCTGTCCCAAAATACAGTTACCGTAATTCCTCAAAATAATCAAGAGGCCCATTTTTGCAGGTTTTTTTTATTTTGAGATCTGTAATAGANTAAAGGTAAAAGGGAATGACTGTCTCATTTTATCAGTTTTCTCAAGTGCACCACTAATTAATCCACTTGAAATGATTTATATTGCATTTTCAACCATTCTTTTTCCTTTCAAATGATTCATAGGTTTTGTAAATACATGTGATATCTTGATATGATCTATATTCTTTTTCTATAAAGAAAATTAAAACAGAGTCAACAACATACAATGACAGGAGTATTTTATTTTCATATTATTAATTGGACAGTAAAAGAACAAAGCAGTTACTTTTCACAGGAGTGAAATCAAGTTATGAATCCCCAAGGTTCCAATATCACGGTCATCTTTTCCATATACTGAACACAACAGTTTTTAATCTTATAACTGATTGATCCCCAAGTTTCTTCTTCTGGTTGAGAGATCTAGGGTCTCCTTAGACAGTAATGATAATTCAGCAATCTTAGAATAAGTGTGGTAACTTGAAGCAACATGCCACTATAGTTTAGTGTGACTGAACTGTCAATTGTCAATATTTGTCAATCCAGTGGTGCCAATCCTCCTTTCCTACAAAACTGAGTGAGAATGCCAAGCCTAAGATGCATATTTGTTATGGGGGATTGTCCCAAGGTGGCTCTAAGTCCAATAATGGTTCGCCAGGATATCCACTACTGCGATTACCTGAAGATGGCAGGACAGGCTGTCAAAAGAAAATGTATTAAACATATTTTAAACTTATGTTAATTGCTGTATAAAAACAATGACTAAACAATATACTGATCAAACATATTGCATAAGTAAAAACAATGATTGAAAATGAAATCAAATATGCATGATGTAGCTACCAGAATTTCATGATAGAAAGACAGAGTTGGTGCTCACATCTGAATCTGATGAATTTGCCTGTGCAATTTCAGGTAACTCTTCTATTATTATCTGTAAGATTGTCCAGGTCAAGGTTCAAATCCAGGCCTAGGATGTAAAATCTGAAAAATAAACAACATCAATAAATGTTTTACAACAACAGAGGCTTGCTGTGTTCAGAATAGAAACTACTGTAGCAGGATCAATCTATCTGAGCAGAGTATCACACTCAGGCTCAGTCATTGTAATCAGCTTAATTGTCTGGCACACCCCCTTGCAAAGCAGCATGAACAACATACTGGACCACAAAGTCTTCCTGATTTTACTAAAGTACTTTTAATTAGGGGCAATTGACCTGGATTTTCATTCCAGGTGAAATGACCCTAGTCATTTACTCCCTGATGATGGTGACTGACAGTCACAGAAATATTGGAGGTAATACCCACATATTTTACAAGCTCTTGATAAAAAGAAAAACAGTAATTTGAATTTATACATACAGAGCTAATGAAACTGTTCTCTCATTTAAAGTACTTTTAGCTGTACAAGTGTTCTGTGTAAGTCTTGAAAATGATTGAAGCACAGTGTGTTACAAAGTCACATAAAGCTAAGTGGTTAACTTCAACTTCATTGTAAACACACATAAATCTGCATATGAAACTAAAATATAAAAAACTGACACAAGTAACATCCCCTAAAATGTCAAAACTTGAAACTGAATGTGTGTTACATACCTTTGATTCTGGGTAAGAAAGTCCTAATGAAGCTGTCTACAAGCTGTCTCTTAACTGTTTGTGTTATGATAACACATGTAACAAAGCCCTAGAATTTAATGCACAAATATACTTCATAAGTTAGATACACAGTTAATTCTTTTCAGCAGACATATTTACCATGAAATAGAAATCAAGTAAAATTCTATGAACTGAAATGTACAGAACATCTTTTAATTCTGCTTAATATTATTTATATTACTTAAAAATATTCAAACTAATTATTTAAACTGGTTTAAGTTTTTAGTGTATCTGATTCTAGTATATTTATGCCACCACTGGTCAACACAAAGAAAAAGCGGCCATACCTAACAACAGGGTAGGTTATAACTACATAGAAGACAGTACCTGAAATAGTGACAGAACCGACTTCGTTATATATATGATCACTTACCTTACAACAAACATCCAGAGCTAAATCGATGAGCTGGATATATTGAGGAACCCAAGCCTGACAACAGTCTGAAGTGGTTCAACAAAAAAAATGCACATTCTAAGGACGACCAGCTGCTATGGTCATTTCTTGTGATATTCCGGTGCACACCAATCCTTCTGAGATGTACCTAAGCATCTCTAGTGCGTGTTCTTCATAAAATTAAGAAAGCATTATGTTTTAACACTTTAAAGACGATGTGCTTTGCTCCACAGTTGCTCAATGTATCCTAGATCCTAGTACCCGCCATGTTGAAAATAGGTCACAGAGTTAACATTGTTATTTTACATTTAGTTTCTACAACATAAACAAATTTAAAAAATGTATTTTTGCTTCATAAGTTTGTCTGCAGGGCAAACATGATTGTTTTAAGGGCTTTTCACAAACCTATACATGGTTTTGACTTATTAATTTAGTTGAAGAAACAGATAAGCAGAAGAAACAGATTTCAGCAGTATAAAAATATTCGTTTTTAGGCCCTTTTTAAAATTGTTATAGTTCTAATTTTACAAGGTTTAACACAGATTTTATTTCACAAAATTTATTTTGCAACCCTTTTCTATCAGCACATACCAAGCTTATATCTCTAAAACTAATGATCCAAAATAAGAAAGCCAGTGACTCACAATATCTTTCATGTTGATATTTTACCACACCAAAAATTATTAAAATCTGCTGACCCCCACCTTGCCGCCTTCTGACCGATCTGTTTGGCTTTCTCATGGACGCGCTCTTAAAAGAAATGAAAGGAAAAATGGGTTCACAAATCAACAATATGCGAAAGAAATTAGATTTCCTGGAATTTGAAAATAAAAACCTTACAGATATTGTAATGAAAATTTTAGTTACCAAGTGGACTGTTGTTTTAAGTTGATAAATGTTCATGTGATTGTTGGGGGAGCTTTATGTGCCTCTCCATTGATTTAATATATTTGTGATCAGTGTACCATTTCTATGGACATTTGCAGTATCAATAAGTTCCGGTGGGAAACAGTGAAAGTCAGGAAACGTTCATATCCTCCCTCTCACACTTCATTGGTTAGTGCGACATCGGCCACTTTGTTTGTCACTGGGCTCACCTCACGTACCCCGAGTGTCAGAGCAACGTGAAAGCTAGCTTGCTAAATATACCTTGTGGTGGAGTCGCTTTTACCAGGGAATTATGTCGGATATAATTCCCTGCTTTCACTAACTCTGAAGACCAGCGGCCATGTAAGTTTTCCATCAATCAAATAGAACTGCTCCGCAGTGAATCTGCAGTTGAATGTCATCAGACCAAAATAAAACGTAGAACAAATTTAATTCTCCTTTATTTAATTTTATTTGCTGTTTTTAAGATGTAAAGTGAAAAAATAAATAATATTCTTCGGAAAGAAAAGATACAGTGTATATCCAATGTTTTTGTATTTTTTGCTTATCAAAGAACATTTAGTCCTGAGATATACACGTGCACAATACATGTGCTTGCCGTGTGCCAAATTTGACAGCTACACTGTATGCCCGATACCACTATAAGGGCTGCGCAATAGCTACACGAAAATAAGTTTTAACAGCAGAATGCTGCTTGTATTGCGGCACTGACCTTCGACTGCAAGATATTTTCAATTCAAACTTCTAACTCCGCGTCAGGCACTTTAATTGCTTCTTGTCTCGCCTGCACGAGACTTCAACGCAAGGCGGGAAAGGCAGCTCCAGGCGGCCAAACCTGTGACGTATGAGACTTATGACTTCCAAATATGGATCCAGGCGGACACAACTGTGACGTGTGACTTCCAAATATGGAAGGGCCCCAGGCAGAATTTTGAAGAAGAACGCCCCCGAGTTGCCACTGTTCGCTAGAGCCTGGTATTGCTACTATGGGTTATATATGAAATCAAGATCGAGCTGGCAATACCGGAATCTAGAACCTAGGGCAACCTCACGCTGAGCTGAAGACTTTGGATTCAGGAGACGCTTTCATCTCGGGTCTCCAATTGAGAGAGTTTCGGAACCCTAGGTTACCGTTGGCTGGCAGCACTCGGGGAATCTACCGTCTAGATTCTCGCAGGTACAGTGCACAGGGTTCGCGCCGTGTCGGAACCCTTCATCGCAGACCGGACCGTAGCTGAGCGTTGACCTGGGCTCCGTATCTCGAAAGGTTCGCTATGTGGCGCACGTGCGCAAGTGTCTCGATTCCATAACCGATTCTATTTCGAGATACGGGGCCATGGAATCTAGACGCTTGCGCACGTGCGCAACATAGCGAACCTTTCGAGATACGGAGCCCTGTGTTCCTACGACTCCATCATCCGCAGTACTCGGAACGGATGTTTCATTTTGGACATTAATGCACACACAGGACTATTACTTACTGGAACATTTTGTTTTGATGGATTTTAATAAACTTTATTCTTTATGTTGTTCGTTTCTTATTTGATCGGAACCTTTAAAACAATGACAGATCCTTATTAAGTTACTGTAAACTGGACTTTAAAAAAAAACCGTTATAATATCATTGCCAGGAAAGACAAAGATTTACTTAAATTGAAAGAGGAGATAAAGGATCTCACAAAACTGAGTCTTGAGGCTGACAAACGTTCAAACTATATATAACGAACAGTATTCTCGTAAAAACAATATCAAAATCTACGGGATAAAGGAAAAGACAAAAGGGAACACCACGTCCCTAGTATGTGACACATTGAAGGAAGTAGCACAGGTAACACTTCGGGAGTACAGACTCGGATGGTCGTCTTCTGAGCATGAAAATTAAAATTGGTACGAGTACTTTTCTTATGTGTAATACATGCATATAGGCACCAAGTCAAATAAATGAACAAGTTGAATTTTATAGATTCCTCTATAAAGAGCTAGCTAAATATGAAACTGATTATGTAATTGTAGGGGGTGACTTCAACTGCACATTATCCAAGCTAGATAAACATGGTGGACTGTCCACACACAGTAAAGATAAAGTTATACACGAAATACAAATTATTATGAAAAATATCATTTAAATGACACATGGAGAAAGTTTCATGGTGCAGAAAGAGGATACACATGGAAAAACTCCGAATCAAACATATCTTGCAGATTAGACTACTGGATAACATCTAACGAACTTTTAGAAAATTGTTTCATAGAAAAGGCGGAGATACTATACGCACCTTACACTGATCATGATGCAATATCTTTGTTTTTAAAGGCAAAAGATGTGACAGTTAGAGGGCGAGGGTTTTGGAAAAACAATAATACTTTACTAGGAGATGAAAAATATATTAACGAAATGAAAACTGTAATTAGTGGAGCAAAAAAAAAAAAAAAAAAAAAAAACGATACAATTACTTAGAAGACCGTGGTTTAGCATTTGATATGATAACCATGGAAATACAGCAGTTTTCAATAAGATTTTCAAATCAAAAATCTAAACAACATAGAGAAAATGAAAGAGACATTTAGAAAAAATTAACGAGCTACAAGCCGAGATCANATCAGCCGAGGATTACCGATTGGCGGTCAACCAATCAGCGTTTTCACCAAACTTTGGTGAAAAATTTTGAAACATGGATTCGATTGGCTTATATAAACTAGGTCAAACTATTTTCGTCAGAGGTAACTTGACACGATGAAGATAGGCTATAGTGAAGAGGTTAGTGTCAAGTTATCTCTGAAGCTCAGGGTGGCCGAGATAGACAATCAATTTAATAAAGAAAAAGCTGAAGAATTAGAAAAACTAAAGACTGAATATGATGTAATCCTAGAGGCTAAAACTGAAGGTGCAATAATGCATAGTTAAGTTAGATGGCGCGAAAAGGGCGAACGCAATACAAATTACTTTATCAACTTGGTAAAACGGAATCGAGTTCGATATACAACTACAAAACTAGAAATTGACGATATTCTAACAGTTACTAACGATTAAGTTATTCTACAAGAACAGGAAAAGTTTTATGAACATTTGTACACCTCACATAACATTACCATTGACGAGAGAATCATAAACAAATTTTTCAATGTACAAATCATACCCCAAATTCTAAATGACCTAAAAATCGCATGTGAAGGAAAGCTGACTATTAATGAGTGCAAAAACGCACTCAGGGAACTTACAAAAAAGAAGAATAAAACCCCGGGTATTGATGGGCTCTGTGACATCGCCATCTATGTGACATACAGTTGACAGCATGAACAAATTTATGGACTTCAGACACCGTGTCATAAAAAGTTGCATGGAAGGTGAAAGCGACACAAATCTGTCGTTATCGCAGGAAATTTAAGATTAACCAGTTTCGTGCTATCTAGATTAAAAGGGAGCAAAATGAAAAGGGGGAGATACCGATATTGGCAGAAATAACGTAACATTTGGTGTGAAAGTCCTTTTTCATTCCGTCTCTATCTTTAATACAAACAGACGCGTAAGTTTGGATCGGGTCCGAGCACTTATTAATTAGCTCAAAACGGTGTATCATCCTCGCATTCAAACAACATCAGTGCTGTATACATAAGAAAACCAATTATGTGCTATTTTTAGCTTTGTCTCGGTTTGTCATTGTTACCACTAAGAAATATAACCAACTTAGAAACTTAGTTGATAGGGTGTAAAGGAATACAATTTGTTAATTGGTGAAACAAATATCAAAACAAGTGGTACGACAACAAAGAACAAAGTCTAGTACCTGTAACATATTCTTACAGTCGGCATGACGTCACAAGATGGCCACCAAGCCCTGACTAGGGTAAAACAATCTGTAAGCTCCATTACTCCCCATGTTAAAATTATCAACTTTGATCGTCTGTATCTCTCACGCCGGTATATAATTAAACTTGACAACTGTTACTTATATTAACATAGGTATTTAGCGTCAGGTAATGGCCATCAAGGACCTTTTCTAGCATTGATGCCGATTTTATCAGCGATAGAAATGCACATGTAAGTGCCAGATTCCTTGCTTTAGATAAACAAGGTGTAAGTGCTAGATTCCTTGTTTTAGATATACAAGGTGTGAGTAGTTTTCATGACTTGCGTGAGTAGCCCGCCTGTTTTGAATGTAACCGAGTCATAACGCTACAGGATTTTGTACAAGTAGGGTCTCTCACAAGTTTTGTTGTATCTTTCATTTTGCATTTTGTTTAAGAATTCAATGTGATTTATGACGGTTGAATATGCATTCCATTCGGATTTTTATAGATCGTACTTTGTACTGTGATATTGAGTCTGATGTTCTTCAAACGAAAATGAAATCACTACCTTATAAATTTATATTATTCTCTAAATAAAAACACCATGAACTTCAAATGATTTGTAGATTTTGACAACTTATAAAGATTTAAGTGAGGCTTTCATTCAAACTTTTTGTTTAATTGGATAATTATGAATGAATCTATTTATGAAAAATAATTTTGGCAGGCCTCTAATGAAATTTTTTACGTTTTTGCAGAAATTATAAAAGCTGAAAAAGTATTTCATAGTCTCTTCAAACATAATCCAGACAACAGTAGAAAAAGAAATTTTAATGAAAAACACAGCAGTGACAAATTAAAATTCTTTTTGAAAGCACATTAATTGCATTACTTAAGACACCTGCTTTGAACACGACAGGTGAGCAATGCTACCCAAGCCCCCTTTTCTAGCTTATCAAATTTTTCAAACTGAGACCTCTAAAAGCAATATGAACATAATAGTTTTCTTTGTTTAGGTAATGATTTTATTATACAAGAATTCTGACTGTATATTAATGAACTGGGTGCATATAGGTCATAGTGTTCCAGTAGGAAAAATTGCTTTAAAAATAGTACACCACCATCGTTGACAAAGTCGCCACTGACGCTAGAAAATCCTTTTGATGGCCACTTCCCTGAGCTAAATACGTAAGTGAATATCAACAAACAGTTAGCACGCGTATTTGTTTACAGATATACTTGATACAGACGATAAAATATGCCTATTACAACATGCATCTGGTGTAAACTGAAATTGCAGCCCGTTGGAGGAGTGTTGGTATTATCGCTGATAAAATCACCATCAGCTCTAGAAAATCCTCCTGAGGCCCATTGACTGACGCTAAAAACCCTAGTGAATATAACCAAGTGGTTGTCACAAGTAATTGTCCTCTGGTCTGCTTGATATGAACGATCAAAGTTCACCAATTTAACATTGAGAGTAATGGGCGCAAGCCAATGTTTTACCCTAGTCCAAAATGAGAGCCTCGTTCTGGGTTCAGTAATCCGGTAACCGACTGTAAGAATGTATTTTAAAAGAACATAATTTCATCGAATTCTATCATGATGTAGCAGAGTGCTCTAAAATGAATATTAATCATTCAACAAGCTCAGGCGCGTGCCTTTGATCACAATCCAAAGTCCAAAGTCCGAGATTACTCAAGTCTAGTAGGTTATCAGTGAAGGGCTTACCGTCATAAGATTATGTATGTGTGCATTTATTCCATCTAACATAAGAAGATTAGATACAATTGTAACGTCAGAAAATACAATAGAGGGAGTGTGATAATTATAGGGTCGCTAAACGATTTTGACGGAATATAGTGACTAGCCTAATCCTCTTGTCGCCTGGGTAGGCACGCCAACTTAGAGTACTTATGTAAACAAAAGTTATTCCATAGAGAACTATCCTTTTGTTCAACAGCTTCGCGCGTGCAGCGGATTATGTATATAGTGACACTATACAGCTAACTGAAGTTAAATCTGTGAAAGCTGTTATTTGATTTATTCTGCTGTGTCGGACGTTGTGGGCCAGCCCAATGGTTCATTCACTCATTCTTTTCTGAAGATTGGTGATGCATATTTTGAGTGCTTAATTATTTACCCTCCTTCTTACAAGAGAAAGGAAAAAGGGAGAGAAACAGAGACAGTGTCAAATAAAAAGGGTAAAGAGTAATATAATACATTAATTAAAGGGACTCGCGTTGGAAGAAACGATAGACTGTTTTGTACAAAGCATGCAATTATAATCCCACATGGCCCATTGCATATACGGCCGTACTTTAAATACATTACTCATAGTTGTATTAAATTACATTATTTTGCTGAATAGAAATACATTTTAAAGTTGGTCTTTCAGGAAATCGTTTTGTTTGAAATAACACAAACGACAGAGGTAAAATCACATATAAATTTATTTTGCAATAAATAACTTTATATTCAAGGTCCATCTACACTGATTGTGAGCTATTACAGAATGTATCGTTAAGTTAATATCTTAAATGTATATCTTTCACTATTTGCTTTTCATGGTTAGAGAATGGAAAAGTATATGATAGGGAGTTATTGACCACAAGTTTAATTTTCTTAAGAAGCAACAAGAGTAGCAGCTGTTTTAAAGGTGGCAAAAGAGGACACGTGACAGATAAAACAGTTTGGTTTGATGAGTTCATTACACGATGTAATTCAATGTTTCTGCCACGAGCTAATCACCCAAAAGACAATAGAACAAAAACAAATAATGTGTGATCAGTACGGAAAATTGAATATAATTTCTTGTGAGTTTGTGTGAAAAATAAGTCGTTGAATAAACGGTGATTTTTAGTGTTGATCTTCACGAAGCTTGCGCTTTCGCTCTACATAAAATCGCAGCCCTCTGTTAGCTTGGTTCATCGCAGCAATGTAGGTTTTCCAGCATTCTGCAGGTCTGGTTGCGTACAATGCCTTCATCTAATGCCTTATCATAAATTAACTTTGTGACATGAAGTAATTAATAAAATACGCCTGTTGAAAAGGGCCTTTTCGTAACTTATACAGGTGCACTGTCAGGCAGGTAAGTTGTTCAGAAAGACATCGTCGCCGTTCGTCGCCCCTACCTTCAGGAAGCTTATCCTCCGCTTGGATCACCGGCATTTTTTGTTATCTGACAAATTAGGGAAGATGGCAATTAGCGTTTTAGCTATTAATTCTAAATTCACTAATATTTCGGACTAAACTCCATGTCAGATTCAAAGCCATGACGCAATGCCATCAGAGTAACAGTTTAAATTTCTAAACATTCTATTTCGTTTTTAGCCTGATGTTTTTTATTATCAGTTGAAAACTTTTCCATGTTCAACTACGTAAACGTGTACGCAAACTATTTTGGACTATTTTATTTTAGCCAACTACACAATCAAATAGCACTAACTGCCCCCTCTCCACCCCCCCCCCCCATAAACAAACACACCCCTCCTTGCTTACATTTTGCCCTTTTTGCGTCACTCGTTATTGCACACACTCAAGATCTAAGGCACGTATGATACAATTCATTGTATGATAATCTATGCTAGCCTTCACATTTTACAGACTAAATTCCTCAGCACTACCGGTCTCTTCGAAAATCTCCCCATCTAGGGACATATCTCCTGATTCCCCGATTCACAATAAAAATCCCCTGATTTATCAGACTTGAATGCGTGGCGATAAAATGTTTCGCTAGAATTTGTTAACACTCAGCGAAATGCGCCTAGTGATTATATTCAATGTGCCATCACTTAATTGCTTTCTCGGTTTCATTAATTGACGATAATAATTGCAGTAAGCAAGAAGGAGGAAATGCTGAAGACATAACAACGCCGGGGGTATGTGTGACTTTCTTCCTTAACATTTTCTATGATGCTGTCAAAGAAAAAGGAACCGAGATAGCGATCATTTAAACCACTGCTGCTTTACAGGTGGACTTCTTCGTTTATCATTTAAATGCCCCCCTCCCCTAGCAGACCCAACTTGAGGAATGCCATAGTAGCTACAGTACACTGTATATCAAACCTCGGTCCAAGTTATGAAAGGTTTAAGCACAAAACGATAATTTGAGGGAATTTTTTCATTCAAGACAAAATTCAATAACTATGATGTGTGACAATAGAGACTTTACAAAGCTTTACGTGCACTTAGATATATTCCAGTAACCTACGGAGATAGGCTAGCGACGTAATAGTAACCTCAACAGGCAGTGTCCCCGATGAAAGCTCCACAATGAACACTGAAAGGCGGAGTACAAAAATTAACTTTTGAAATATCGATTACAACATGCTGTACAATGACTGAGTCGTGAAAGAGGTATTGGACTTCTTTGCCTTAAAAACAAATTCATTTCGAAATCAAAAGAGCATTTTTTGGGGGGCGCGTGGGGGGGGGCATAGCAAACGTCGGGTGATTCGTTAAAGCCGAGGAGTGTCTCACTATCAAATATGTAAATCATATGTCATAAAAACACTACAAGAAAGTTTTTTTTTTTTGTTACGATCTGCAACATTTGTTTATTTATGTAGCAGGGCGAAGTTAGCGCCAGAGGTAAATAGTAACTCATTCCGTAATCCTTTATGCACATTTATTTAATCGTATCAAAACGTTTAATACACAATGTTCACTAATGTCATAATTTTGGCGATTTATTAAAACCATATTTGTACAAAGTAGGTTAGCATAAGTTAGGCAACAACCAGTATGAAGAACAATTCCCTTTTTAAGTGAGGCAAGACAACCTATTCAAACTGATTATAACCTTTATTGCGTGCCTGTTATAAATATTCATATGTCAATTAAGATAGCTAAAACTATGGTATCATCAGAAATGTGTATCGGTGATGCAAGCCGTAGCGAGCGTACCAAGTGTTGTAATCGATGTTATATTTGGAAACGAACGTGACACTTTTTCGAAGGACCAATCCGCCCTGGAACAAACCCTCTACTTCGATTGTGTAACATATTTTATAAACATTGCATTAGTTGTGACAAGCCGTGGAGTTACTATCAATTGGCACGTGATAGCTTCTAGACGTTTGGTCTTCGTATTATTATTGTGTGTGTGTATGAGTTAGCTCAAGCCAACCGTCCACAACAGAACTGTGATTATATATTCCAACCACAGGGTTCGTTAGCAGTGTCTTACAAAAGGGTCGTAGGGCATACTTTAATTTTGTTTTGTATTTTAGAAGTTTCTGATATCAAAGGGTAGTGATTTCACGCGTACGTTAGAAACAGGAGGTGTGTTATTCTGTTAAACTGATTGCATTTAGCGAGAGAATCAGAGATGACCCCTTAAGCGAAAAATGGACCAGTTGGACCCTTGTCCTAGTGCTGTACACGTGTCACAGATGTCCTGTCAAATCTCGTTTATGTATAGACTCATTTACAGAAATGAAGATATCATCTCTTTTTATTCCTCTTATAAAAGTTGATATTCACAAAATGTGACTCCATGCATCCGTATACGGTTCGCCTTGTGAGTCGAGACCTTTTCCGCTGAAAGAAGTTTTGTTTGGTGTAATATATCCTAAAGCCGAGCTCGTACAGTCTGTTAATGATAGAAACTCTCTTTCTGTTGCTCGGTACGTCATGGAACTCGATTCCAAGCTGTTTGACTTGTGCCAGTACGCCCTCCTGGTACATTGCCTCTAAACTTGACCATTCGCTCTTTTCGATGTCGATTTTCAGGTAGTCGAGTGTTCGCTGAAAGAAAGAAAACATATTTCTTTTTACGACTGCTGTAAACTTACTGATGGAGTTTACACGCATCAAGAGCGCATGTATCTAGAGCAACCAGTGCCAAACACTGTGACCTATGGACCAACAGTGTGTATACATGTACAGGGGTATTCGGTAGCTCTCGATCCACCAGGTGCACCAAGGACCTAAGGGACCATTCCCACAGATATTTGGATCGATCTATCTCCCTGGGGAGTCTCACTAAATTGCTATCAACTAACCGGCTTAAATGTCTGTCACGCCTTGTAAAGCTCTTAGGGGGTAATTATCTTTACCCTCTAGCTGATTCGGTATTACATTGAATGTAACTGAATGTAAGATTAACTTTCTCGGGTCCAGTTTGACTGATATTCGCTAAGGGCCCTGTGTTAACGCTGCAGACTGCTAGAGCATGGCAGGTAGAACATGTCACCAATACAATGTGTTAAGTACTGAGTGAACACTAGACCAATAACACAAAGGGGCAATAGCAAAGCCTTCAAAGATATGTCCAGTTTAAAAATATTGCCCTTTATCACTATGTAGAATGGAAACGAAGGTAATCCAACATTATAGACGGTCTCAGAGTGGATGCAATACATTGTACCAGTAGGCAGGAATATATGCAGTTTTAAAACACTTTATCTGGCACTTTGGCTTATGGTTTACTTACATCTTTATGTCCCAGAAGTCGCACAATGGATCCAAGCGTGTACATTTTCCATTTCTTAGCATTGGTCCAGTTCTTTCCGCCTAATCCTAGATTATGGAAATGGATATTTGCGGAGCGATTGAAGTCATCTTGTCCAATGCTGGAAATAAATGTGATACATGGAGAAAGACTATTAAATTACTGTGTAAAAGGCAAAAAAGTTTTATGGCCTGTGTTTTTATCGTGTGGACAGCATCCAGCATTTCATAATTTGAAAACAAAATTGTGCAGTATTAATTACACTCAGCACTGTATGATGTATAGCATCACGTTAGTGACTGAATAACCTTCACCATCTGGGTGAATATGTCAGCGGATAGATACCAGGCCTACCCAACTACCAGACTCGGCACATAAGGATCCTGAATTAACCGGTATATCGGACCGCACTACCCGTTTTCAAGGTGTGTGTCAGATCGCATTTCGGAGTATGATACCCCAGAACAAATTTTGTAGGACGACCGCGAGCTCATTCACGCTTGGCTGTCACCTTGGTTGGATAGTAAACAATTGTCGTAAAACCGCTATGCGATTTTAAACCCGGATGCATAAATTTGAAAGCCACCCAGAACATCCTTATACTGTACTCTTACTTTAGAGTACTCTATTTTATTGTCTCTATGGGGGTATATGGGGACTTTACGACATTCGATTTGAATGTTTTAACCACTTTTGATAGGGATTTTTTGCATTCTGTTAGATTAATGTGGCAGTCTAATGTTGTTCTAGGTGGTTTTCAAATTTATGCACCCGGTTTTAAAATCATATAGCGATTTTACGACAATCGTTTACTATCCAATTAAGGTGACAGCCGAGCGTGGGCTCATCCTGTCGGTGTTCTGGCTGATACTCCGAAATGCGATCTGACACACACCTTGAAAACGGCTAGTGTGGTCCGATATACCGGTTAATTCAGGATCCTTATGTGCCGAGTCTGGTAGTTGGGTAGGCCTGGATACGAAAATCCGATCCTTTGACTCCTGTCAGCATCAAAGACATGCCCACCTTGGATCGAATGCATGAACTTCACACTTCTTTTCTTGGTCCATGTAATCGTCAAACGACCATTTGTAGCTGATCCTGGATAAAAATACATACATTATCAATATTTTTTAGACTGGCACATCCGGGGGGGGGGGGGGATTTGACAGGAGGGGCATAGGAAGGCAACGAGGGCGTGGCAAATGCTTCAATTACAAATCAACATCTACAGACATAAATTTCAATTGAATATATATATATTAATAAAAACAGCGAATTTCTTGCTTCGAGTGTTATATCTACGTCTTTGTTTTTATTAATATGCTTTATTTATTGCTCTGACCTACTGAAGCAATCACTCATCCTCCTTGGTGGGCAATCAAATAAATACTTGGCAAACCAAATATGAAAAAATTATAAAAGTCGCAGGCAAGACACCTTCTAACCAACGTCTGAAAATTCTACATGTTTATCTTCATGTACCAGTGTTTTTATTAAGGGGAATAATGAACCACTTTCCATTTAAGTGGGCTACTGTGTATTTAATTTGAACTGAGAGAGATCTAAATCTGGGGTTATAGTCCCTTTATTAAACCAGACCGGAAGCCGTTATTCCGACTGAAGGAATATGCCAGATACTGTATGTGTGTCGAAAACAAAGCCGATCTTACCCAAAGGAGTAGACTAAACATTTCCCCGGTTTCATATTGTATGGCGGGTCAAGGCACACCTCCCAGCCGCCGTCTCCTGTTTCCTCGGTTCCTGCTCTAATCCGGTGTCGGCAGTCAAACTGAATTTTCATTAGGTACCTGGAGATAGGAGTATTTGCTTTTATTCTGCGAAGGTAAAACAGTTTTCAAGTTGCAAAATAAGCGTGCTTGTTAATTCTGTTATTCGATCACTGTCAGCAGACGGAGCGAATTTTAAAGCAGCACTTTAATATTTATCTGAACTGCATACGCAAAGAAATATTCAAGATATAACTCACCGAAAAGATGTTTGTTTTCAGTATCAATAAATGATTAATTTTGATATTCACTCAAACGGTATGATATATATTGTTCATGCATATAGTACCACATACAATTAATAATGCAACTCTGAACCACAGAAAAATTATGATGTATATTTTTATGAAATGTATTACCTTTATGTATTAAATGAACTCTCAGAATTTAACCCCAAGGTATTGTATTTGAATAGCATTATAAACATTACAATCCATTCATTTATTGGATACGTATAGTGTATAAACTGCCATTCTTCTTTGTCGTTTTAATACTCAAGGATTATCTGTATGGCGTAAAAATGTATGGGTGTCTCCAATATTGACTTGTCAACGGTATACCTATAAATGAATGCATGTTCTAATGAATTAACTAAATTCCATGGAATGCACTTCAAACGTGTTTGTTTACAATACCTGAAATAATCCCTCTCAATTTCATCGTATGCAAGCTGCGGCAGGGTGAGATTCAGCGTCACTTCCGGTGAGTAGTCGATGTCGTCTGCTAGATTGTAAAACGTTTTTGGAGGAGAAGATCTCGATGGAGAAATGTGCCTTGAGGTCGGTTCAGTTGCCTTGATGATGAATGAAAAGAAAACAGTAAGTTGTACATGCTAACATTTCACTTTAATTTTATCCTATACAATATGTAACTTATCCAGTTTTGGTACTACATTTGGAGAAAGGTCAAAATGGTTAGGGTTAGTCGGAGTATTGTCTTAGTATGAGTATTAGTAAATAAGACGAATGTACAAAGTCATGGGGAATGCACTACGGTTTCTAGTGGACAACGATTCCTGTCACACCGGCATCCATTTAAACTTAAATCCCTTCAGCTACGAGAGACATTCAAATACTATACAGATTTTTATGTTAGAAGTAAAACGCCCACTTACCAGTTTCAAGGGGGGCTCGGCCTTGGCACTGCTGACTTTGAGCAGCACACGTTTACGTTCACTTGCCGCTTAATAGATGTAAACATATTTTGAAAGAAGTTATTTTGTTTTGTGCATTAATATAACATAGAGGAAAGATTTGGCGTATTTAATACTACCAAAGCTGCGTACTGTGCCAGTTTGTCATCACATGAAGCTTGTTTAACAGAAACATCAAAATTTACATTACTAAAGAAATTCAATGTAAAATAAACCATAAGTAAACCTTAAGTATTTATTCCTATCGCACTGATCATACGACTATAAACTTTGAATTCAAATAATTGAATGATGTTCGCTGTTGTTTTTTCTAGATTGTAGGGGGCGGTTTAACCTACTATGTTATAAATAAAAAGTAAGGGGCTAATAGGGGCTAAAACGTCACCTTCTCGGATCCAAAAAGCGGCAAGCCATATTACAGACACGGCACTCAGAACGGCAAGAAATTTGAATGTTCTTCTTCGGATCATATTGGCCGAAGCTAAGGAAAGAAATAACGCAATATTTACGCAGTAATTGTAGGATATACACGCACGCCAACTGCTGTAGAACAGGGAGACTCATGTTACAGGTTCTTATAGCCTTGGTCATGTCTCACAAAAAAAAAAAAAAACTAGAGCTTTAATATTGGTCTAAAATTTAGATCAAAAGTTTTCGTCTACCGTGAGCCAAAATAAATTACCAGTAGTTCTATTGAATGAATTATAGTATTGCGCCTGATGTTATGACAAGAAATCCTGGGGAATGCCTCACTTTAAAACTCACTCAATTTAGATGGATTAAGTATGAATCTAGCTTGAATTGAAGTATCTAGATCACGTTTTTCGTCTAAAAGTTTGCGGCCATTTCAGCGTTAAGTTCTTTTGTGAATCAATCTCGAGGATCTTTCGATTTTATCCTGTTTTAGCAGATAAAACTAAGCCCCAAACCACTTTATCCTCTTTTTGTGATGCAATCCCCTGCCTGTTTTGATAAAACTTAATTTGATTGACTGATTGACTTTTTTATTAAAATTAAAATTGCTTACTATAGGCTATTCGAAAATCCGACATTGTACATGAACTCCACTTGGGGAAACCACGAATGGCACGCTGAGGCATTTTGTACCACATGCAGATAATACAGGTATGAATTTTGTATTAACCAAAGAGAGCCTTCAGTAACACGAAAGCAATATATCTTCTTCGTCAGTATTTTAGAACGTCATTTCGCTGAGTGCCCTAGCTACATATTTTTAGGGAAAAAACGTAGATAGGTAATGGTGGAAATGAAATTAAATCTCATTCTGGATATTACATTTTGAAACGGAGATCACAATGCTTCAACCTTATCACTTTTTCATTCCCATCATCGTAGTATAAAACGATTGGATGGATCACAACATTCACTTCTTTGATGACAAAAAAAATTAACTTAGTTTGCGTAATGTTCTTGTATATGTTTCACGTCCCTTACAAAAAAAGTCCTTTAGGATCCTATTAAATCCTATAGGATTCTATAGGACTTTTTCGTTACGGGTAAATCCATACCAACAGGACCACGGGTAGAAGATAAGGTACATAGCCAATGCCATTTTCACGATTCTTAAACCTCTCCCTTAAATTATCACCCCATTATGCTGGTCATTTTACAGAAAGATTACATATACATACATACGATTGACTCAGCTAGAACAAAGTTTGTGTCGCTCATATATATATACTGAACAAAAATATAAACGCCCCATCTGAATTATTCAAATAACATGGGGTGGGCTTCGGGCAGTTATCTGTAGCTTCGGTCAGTCTGGACAATGATCTTTAGCACAATGAACAGCAGAATTCACTTTGAATGATTTAATATCAATATAGCCCATAATGCCGATAGATTTTTAAAAGTATTACATGGGGCATATTTGTCCATTCTATTTAATAGCTGGTTCTCAGACGCTCTTGAATTTAAAATATGTTAATAATTAGTCTAATAAACGTAGAAAATTCTATATAAATTGAAAAACATTACCTTATTGCCATAAGATCTGGAACAGTGTCTAAGCCTACCTTCCCTGTATACGGTGTTTCGATGTGTAGCTGCAGGTTTCATGAAAAATTGATGGCATGGCAGCAGGTATTGAATGCCGGGTATGGCTTTGTGTGTACTTGTCTCTAGTTCCTTAAATTAATGATAGCAATGCGGGACGGTAAAAGCTGAAAACCGAGCCAATGTAAATATCCAACCCTTACTTACTGTACATATAACAAGTGCAATATACGGTCGACTTTGAGATATGTAAAGAGACCATGAGGGGGGGGAGGGGTTAAACACAAGGCCACAATCACATGAATACCGGTGTAACGAAACTGCAATGAGGGTCCTTGCGACAGAAAATCTGCCCTCCATTTAGTAATAATGGTGAGGGTTAGTCTGACCTAAGTGGATCAAATTCTAGGGCGAGGCTTACCTGTAGAAATGAATGGGAAGCGGGCTCTCTATCTTGGGGGACTCTCTGTCACGTTTCGTCGGCATGCAGGGCGGTTTGCCAGTACAAAGATATTTTAATAAAATTAAAATATAATCAATTCAATATAATAAAAATTCCCAACCTGGTTGAGCCATCTTTGTTAAGAAGCATGTGTTGTAATTGTCAGTCTTTGTTTCAAGTTGTATCATTTTGAGGCGTGAGGAATAAGCTGGCGATGCATATATCAACATTTCATGGGTGCAAGTGAGACGCAGAATGCCAAGATGCGTAGTTATTCGGTTCTCATATCATTTGATGTGTTCATGGGCTGTGTGAGAAAGGGAAAAAATATCAGGGTTATCCATGAACTCAACGCACTTCCCACTTGGGAGTTTAAACCACTTGTTTGCTTTTTCTCCAAGTTACACAATTTGAAATTATATATTGTGACTTTTGATCGGGTTATGTGGCAAAAATTGACAATGCATTTGAAGGAACAAATTTGGAGGATTAAACTCAAAAAGGGGCCAAATCCACATGTGAAGAACACGTTAAGGGGTTACATTTTAACATGATATTTGAGGTTTAGTTTATGACCTTATTAAGTTAGTGATCGTGCTTCTGCAGCAGGTCGGTTTTGAAGCTCTATATATATGCTTTATACAAACCTTTTGTTTGACACAAAAATCCATTGAGAAGAATCCTTTTGTGATTTTAACGATTTCTCTTTTGGCGTAGGTGAGGTCACTGCCGACAAAATACTGACCAGCGACCCGAAAGGCACAAAGACCCCATGTTAGCACTACCAGAAAACAGCAGCCCAGCAAGCACGAAACGTGAGTAACCACGCATTGCCTTCTATCTTGCGGCTACGCGTCAGTTGCATTGCATTCCGGAAGTAATACCTATTTATAAGGAAGGGGCAGGTTGGTAATTTCACGGCAATTAATGCAGCTATCGATCTTACGCGTACCTGTAGTACAAAGTAGTCTGGTTTCTTAATAGCCAGACGGTACCTTGGGGCCACATATAACATTATAAATACAGAAGGAATCCCTTACAGTAAAGACGAAACAAATGTTTTTTCTAACCAGAGTCCGATGGATTTTCCTTTTAATACATACAATTTCCAATATACTGTCTTAAAACGACACCAGACAGCAATTTTAATCGAATCAACCAGACGGTAACCATAGGTTTATTTTCAAACAGCCCGCCTTTCGCGCATGAGCAGTAGTTTGAATCGGTGCTTATAAAACGAGTAACATAATGCAATAAGATTGAATAATGATTTAATTTGAATGTTCAAAATGTGTTTATAATGATCCTAAAAAATTACTCCCTTAGCTAAAACCTGCACTTTGCTGAAAAATTCCCTCAAAAATTTCCCAGGTGGCTCTTGACATGTGACCCTATTTATC